GCGTTATATTTTCCAATCTTGACAGTATTGGTTCATCTATACGACATTATATGTATTTCTATCATTATCGAATGTCACATATTTTATCATTAAAAATGTCAATTGCACATGCACAAAATTCACAGTTGATCTGAATTAATCCGTTATATGATTATAAGTAAACTTTTTTAAATGTATATATCATAATCGTCAAATGTCGCTTTTTACAAGGATATAGTACATTACAATGTTAGCATAATTAACGATCCCCTAGCAATAACTTATCCGCACCCTACTATTAACTCTAAGTATTTACGGCCTCATTCATTTCGTTTTATGTTTCAATTTAGACATATTAACGCACTTTGTCTATTTTTGAACATTGTTTATTTACTAACCGGCCGTTTCTTTTAATTAATTATGTCTTTATGTAATCATTAATTGTTTATGGCATATAATTATTTTATTGTTTATTGTTTCTTTCTTATAATCAATCATCGTTTATCGTTCACTATAAATAACTTTGAAATAATCTACTTTATTTATACATATACACATGTGTATCAATGCGTATTAATAACAAATTTTTTTAACGAAGTTACATACAAGCATAACTCTTTCTGAAATTAAAACATTTTTAAAAGTTTATTTAAAATAAAAGAAACAATTAGAAATAAGTAAAAGATTGTCAAGACATTTCTACAATAAATTGAGTTTTATTTAAAATGATTTTTATAATAATTGTCTAAGTTTTCCGTGAAATAAAATATTTAATATGCATCTATTCTTTATCAATCGATTATTCGGATATCAATGTTCAAACAGGATAAAATGATTTCAATTATGCCATTAAATTCGTGTATGAGTATCGAGTAGCAATCGCGAAATTTTGTCCGATGTTATCTACGGTAACTGCGAACGAAATATTGTCGCAACGTACTAATGTCCAGCAATCCTCAAATGTAAGGGTCTCTGCTAACGTCTATCCCTTAACGCCTGCCCTACCTGTAGGACGAGTTTCCCAACCGGTAAGGTAGATTACTCTGAAGCTTAACATATTAAAAATTTCTTGAACGTATTAATTAAATTGACCGTTAATTATTTTCTTGAGTTATACGAGCTGTCCTCGCGCGCTCTTCTTTTCTTTTTATTATGAATTTGTTTTGTTCTCGATAGTTTTATAGCTGTTCTTTTTTGTCTCGCAGAAAACTCGTTTATGACTTTAAATTATTAATGCATTGAGGAAATTATATTTATTAACATTTAATTTAAAAAAATTAATGAATTATAAATACATTATCATAAAATCACTACATTTATAAATGCGTCAAAAATTGACAGTAACTGCTGTTTCGTTCGTTCTTTAGCAGTGACATCAGCCTATATTTAAATTTATAACGGAACCAAAATATATGACGATATACTTTTATATGATAGAGAAAGCGATATATTTTTATAAAATTTCTATCGACTGCAAGAACTATAGAAAGTTCGATGCAAGCTTTGTGCAACCAGGTGATATTGAGAAAGACCGCCAGATGGCAAAGGAAGCATCTTCCGGATCCTTACTATGCGATCCTATCTTTGCTCCTGATGCGCTGCCGATCAATATGCAGTGTGTTGATCAATAAGATTTTTCTTAGATTATAAACTTTAGACAATACACACACAAAGAATGATATCTAGTTGAAAAAAAAACTATTGTTACAGGAAAGTGCCGATGCGTTTAGAATTATTGTATGACTTTTTAATTAAGCATTATTAATAAAAATTAAATTATATCAATAATATATATTTTACATCAATAATTCTGCAGCCCTCGTATCGCTAAAATTTTAATTCTCGTGTAACTAATATTATAATTGAAAAATTTTTGTTCCTTAAACTATCTTTGTATCAGATACTACATTTAACATCTTGATTAAAAAAAAAAAAATAGTGGAATGCGAAGCATAATCTTCTATTCCGAAAAAACGTCCAGTTCATTATTTTCATCGTTGCTTGCATTTCATACCTTGATTACCATCAACTTCGATTTGCGTGAATATAAAGACAAAAATAGTATTTATCTTAAAATTCCGACGTTAGTTTATGATTAAATATTTGTGCATGATTTCTTAACAGAAAGAGAGAAAAAAGGAGACATGACAGATTAAATAAATAGAAATGTGCGCGAAATGACTGATAAAGAACGAAGATTCAATCAAAATGATAGCTCGAACAGTGCGTTGAACTATGTGGAGGAAACCAGAGGAGCCGAAACCATCGGAGCGATGAAGAATGAGTGCTGGTTTAGCAAGAGCGCAGATTTGCTGGGCGCGCGCGCGTGAGTGCAATGGCCCCTTCGCTTTCGTGTTCACCTTCTCGACTCGATGTTGTAGCTACGCCCCCTAATCCCCCCTTCGAAATCTTCCTCGTATCTTTGCTTTGGTTTTATTCGAGGTCCATCGTCCATGTAGAATGAACGTCCATCATCCGTATGGATTTGGTATCGATAGTTAACGATGATACCTACGTGTATTTGTATCCGTACCCCTTTATGGTTTACTTTCACTGTGTAGCTACTGGTGATAGCAGAAATCACCGAAATGTAAAACGCGAATGAATAATTGACTTTTCTCGGTGAATTTATAAACTTTGGTTTTCTAAGACGGTACTTGACACAAAACGGGTATCTCTCCTTAACAGACTCTTGTATGAGCTCCGTTTTAAAGAAGGTATTTAGGACCCATTTTTGGCTACCCATATGGCCTCATACACCTTCCCCATTCACATGGTGGCCTCCTTCACGCCCCCACCATATTCGACACGCGCCCTTCTATACGCTATAAGCTTAAAGGCCCTGACTTTTACGATTCTGTTCAAGTGGTCATAAAACCGAAGTTTATTGCCGTCATGATTTTCAAGCAAACGGGTTACCACCTGTCGGATTCTCGCAAAAGCGAAAACTGCATCAGATCTCTTCATCAACGGCGCCATCAAATTAAGGGGGAGCTTAATAAATCTTTTTTTATGTGATTTACAAATCTTCTTTAGCATAGCGATTGATGATGCTTATGTATGAGAAGATATATCTATATGGTAAAGATATAACTCCCCTCCCCCTCCTCTCTGCGTTGGGTCGTCATTATCTAATTACTTATATATATAAAACGTTGATTATATTTCGTAGATTGTTCAAGCATATCGTTTTACTTATGCATTCCTCCAAGCATTTTGCTCTCGTATCGATTTCAATTCAATTTAAACATTTGAAAAGACAGAGATTCAGAATATCTTTTACTTGTTCGTATTTTTGCGACAGCAAAGCAGGTGGCTAATACCCTAAGCGTTCCTAATGGCGAGAGCGAGGCAAGAACGAGTAAGCAAATAACTAGGGTCAGCCCTGGAGAGCAGCTTATGATGGGCATTACTCGGCTCGTTACGAAATAATTTACGAGGTGTGAATCGCGGGAACGATAATCCAGCGACGTTTACATCCCAATAAACACTCCCGATATTCTAAAGCCGTGGAGAGAACTGCTTACTCGACAGCCACAGCTTCGCGGAGCTTCATTTTACGACATTTTAATTGTGCGATAATTGTTTAATTGATTCGTAAAACTTGTGTCTCGTAAAAGGCACGTTCACCATGACATTTCCTTATCATTTACACTCATCATGTCAGATTCATTGGGTCCCGGCTTCAAGCTCGGTTACATCTATAATAAGATCTCTCAAATATGATCCAAGTGTCTTGCATGCTCTTTGTTCCTCTGTGTATACTTGTTTTCCCTCTCTATATACAACTTGTCGATTAAGTAGTATCCTACATCATAGCGGATTTACGATGTCGCTACCGCAATAACGATAATCGCAAGGTAGCTCGTTGATGTTGGTCGTTTGAATGTCTGAATGGATCTGGCAAGGTTAGTTCGTTACGGGACTCAAAGGTGGCGGTGCACGTATCCCCACGAACGAGCAGAGAGGAGAGAAAGAGACGGCAAGAAGCATTGCGTGATCGCGCGTGCCGCATGGTTTCTCCCCATCTCTTTTCCTCGCAGCGTAGGTACAGCGAGCACGCTGTATCCCGTGCTTTCTGTAGCGGTGGGGGATCAGTTGGGCGGCGCCTAGCAGCTCATGGGCGTCATTCCGACTTGGAACTACTTTCGCACGGCGTAGGAACTTTCGTGCCGTAGCGGAACGGTATTCGTGACGAATTCAATTCTGATTGGTCCTTAAGTATAACCTCCTCCCTTAGCGACGCGTTCTCCCTCTTCACCTGAGTGTCTGTGGCGACGGCGCTCGCTCTGCTTCGTCTCGCTCTTAGCTGTTACAATTGTGCATAACGTTCTTTCTTTTCCTCTTTATTCCCTTCTCTCTCTTCCTTTCTCTCTTTCTCTCTTCCGTACCTTCTTATCCGTTTGTGTCTCTTTGCGCGTCCTCATCCCTCTCTGTTTCCCATCTCATCTCTTCCCTTTCTTTCGCGTCGCGACCAACATTTCTTTCCTCTTCCTTTCTTCGCGCTGTCTTATCTGCTCGCGCGCCTCAAACGTGACGCGCACGGCGAACGAGTACGAATTTAATCTGGCGGTACGTCGTTGAGTTACTGGAACGCTCGATAGGGGGCACTGAGGAATCGTATCGCGAGAAAGAGGGAGAGGATAGATCGAATGGAAGGGAGAGGATGAATATCGTCGAGAGGTGGAGCGAGACAGAATCGGAGGGTGAGAAAGCAATTGTGGGGGGGAAACATTGGGGGTGGAAAGAGGGGGACAACAACGACGATAGACAGAGCGAGGAAGCTCGCACCAGGAGGGGGATGGTATGCGAGAGACAAAGAGGAATGATAGCACACTGCGATCTCCGTTAGGACGTAGTACTCCGGAGGAAGAGTACGCGCGAGTGAGAAGCGATAACCGCACGAATGGGAAGGAGCGATCGTGATAGAGCGAGAGGAAGATAGAGAGAGAGAGAGAGAGTGCGAGGAGGGACGATGGTTGGCAGAACGGAGAAGGAAGCTCGGGAGAGAGAACGCGAGAGAAGTCGAACTACGAGGAAGAGAGACGAAACGAGGTGAACGAGCGAGCAAGAGACGGACGACGGTACAGAGTGGCGGTACACGGGGCGCGAGAAAAGCGGTAGTGTGCCGTGGACCACCGCACTGGCATACCGTGATTCGTTACAATCTCCATCGTTCTCTAGACTCGGACTCTCACAGTCATCAGCGAAGTCACAATACGACAAGTGCTAGTGCAGTGCGGAACTGGCGAAGTCCACCCCCTGACATCTCTCGTGACAGATTGGCCGGCTTGAACTCAAAACAGGCCTTGACCTGACTTGACCGATCGCGCGAATTGTATATTTCAAAAGAAAAAGAGAGAACCGCCCCGCGAGGGTGGTTGTCGCGTGCCGGCTGACCGAACCGTCGTCCGGCGCGCACGCGGTAGAGAAACCCGCAGGCAATTTTATAGCCCGTCTTATTACTCAAGTTTATTACATCGTAACGGCTTAACGATCATCGCCCGTTTCCACAGTTCAAACCACCGTTTTATGCTTTGCTCGTCGCGTAGCGGTAACCATAACAAGACGATAAAAGTCCCCGCCACTGTCATGAAACCCATTCTGAATTACACTCCTACGGCCTACTAACATTGACACTCTCGGTATATAACCGGCTATACCTGTCGATGACTTTTATAGCCACTTAAAACGATTAAATACCCCTCGTTTATTTACCCCTTGTCAACATTCTAATCTGTCACCGCTCGCGTCGAATACTACAGCGTATCGCTCTTTTAAGCATTTATATCTATATAAATATCGTAGCAACTCGGTAACGTGGTACAAGATCAGAGATTTTATTAACTTTCATTCAATACGAAGACGTTGGTGTGACACGAGATTATAACAAATCGGACTAGTGAAATTTGACTAGCCGCGCGCGCTCCATGTAAGCCCGCTCGAACCTTGATTTACTTTTCCGCTGTCTCTTTTTTTGAGTGCCGGTGTTTTAGTGCAAGTGATTCAAAATACCCGGGATAATGAACTCGTACTTTGAACAGACCGCAGGCGGCTTCTACGGAAGCCACCATCATCAAACAGGAGCGGCGAGTCAACATCATGATCCAGCTACTGCGGCGTATCGAAGCTTTCCACTCGGATTAGGTATGTCGCATTACGCCTCAGCGCAGCATCACCATCATGCATCCTCTTCGTTAGGGATACACCCTGGCGGTGGAAGCAACACGAGACCACCTCAAGATTCACCGTATGACGCGAGCGTTGCGACGGCCTGCAAGCTTTATTCGACGACACCCGAAGCAACCGGTCACACCACATCCTCGTATTCAACAACGGCGACGAAAGACTGTAAACAACAAGATCAAACGTCAACACATCAAAATGGTTATGCCGCGGTCATGGCAGCTGCAGCGGTCAAGGACGTTTGGCAGTCAGCGACCTCGGGAGCGAACAGCCAGAGTAATTCGGTCGTACGTCCTTCCGCGTGTACTCCGGAGAGTACGAGGGTCAGTAGCTACGGTGGCCTTGTAGGCGGCGATCCGGCATCGAGTCCCGGTAACAACAGTTCGTCAAGATCCCTCACATCGTCCTGGAACACCTGCAGTTTAAACTCGTCCGCGAGTCAACCGGTCGCCACGCAACTACATCAGCAACCTACTGCCAACCATACCTTCTATCCCTGGATGGCTATAGCAGGTGAGTTTGCATTCATAAATGCTCTCTTATACGACTATTATCGTAACAGCCGCGATGAAATATAGGAGCCGCTATGGTTAGGGGAAATGTGGGGAGCCACGTGGTCGGGAAGGCGTGGTGGATCAGGCTTGCCCGTCTGGTTATACCGGACTAAATTGTTAAAATTGCTTCCACGCGATCAAATTACCTACAAGTCGTGTAGAACGAGATTATAGAATAGAATGTTTCGTATGCATCGCGAACGGATGAAAAATTCGAATGGATGAAAAATTTTATATCGCGCGTAAACAAGATGAGTTATTTCATCGTCCCTTCGTGTATAAAAAAAGCGGAAGGTGTAGATATGTCCTGCTCGACGAATATAGCTTATCATGACACCACTACATTCGAACGCGATGAAATTTTTCGCGAAGTCTATTTGTACGTCATTTTGAAATACGACACATGTCCATCGTGAAACCCGAGATCACAGATTTATAATCGTTGACAAACTAAAAGCATTCCATTGCCATTGTCTTTTGGTCGAATAAATATATAGCAACAAAAAAATTGGCAAAAAAATAACAGAACTGAACGTTAAAATGTTATTAGTATAATTAACATATGTATTTTGGAATCTTATTATATCTCTCTTATCTTATCTTATTCAGAATTAATGAATTGTAATATCCACTTTTAAACGAACGATTTTTCTAAGTATAAATTGCCGAATGTGTAAATTAAATATATTATCATATATATTAATAATATCATCACTTAATGATAATCTAATAAATGCAATAAGTATTTATTTTTATATATACAAGATACACAAAGTGATATAACCTAACCGTGATAGTGATTTTTTTTTCTTTGCAAAAATAAAGCGTAGAATAAAATTTTTTTACACGAGATTCTGTTTTTTCGAGGAGAACAATTCAGTATCTTTACTCGATTTTTGAATTTGTAGTCTCTGTGAAAATATCGCGATGGTTAAATGTAGTAAACGAAAATATATTTTTATCGATTTTATATTCTTGAAAACAAAATCATATAAAAAAATTTCATTCTATTTTCGATGTACTTTTGCACGGGAAACCAGCCCGTTTGCAATTGTACCATCGTTACCGCCACATTCTATACATATATAATTTCTTTTAAATTGCTGGTCTTACCCTTCCTTTTCGTAAGTTTTATGAATTTTTCATTTTCGCGTATGCAATGTCAACGCGCGCGAGCTATGTCGTGGAAAATCGGTCGTGTACCTTGGCAAAATTATGTCTGGTAGATGGGTAGAATGGAGTCAAGTGCGTGTAAAATCGTTGGGTACGCTGGGTATAATGGGGAAGTCCTCGTCCAATTGGGGGTTCAAGTGCCTTCCCCACTGTACTCACCCCACCGGAACCCCGAATTCCGGTAGTCAGCTGTTTCTAGCGATGTCTTTGTCCTTTTCATTGCGAGAGAGAGAGAGAGAGAGAGAAAGAAGGAGAAACACTCCCGAATAACCTTCTGCTTTGCCGTTGGTAGATATATAATCATCAAGGCCTCGTGGGTTCTATCGCACTTTCGGTCAGAGTGCTTTCTTTACCACAGGTCAGCTGAGATCCTAGATTCCTAGCTAGCAGTTCTTTTTACTATCTCTTTCCTTTTCTCTTTGCTCCAAGCCGCTTAATTTTCGTCGGCGGGAATCTCCTTCCCGCGTTCTTCAGTCCGGTTTAAGAGTCAAGCTTTTTTTTTCTTCATCTTCGATTATACTATTATACAAGACATTTTATGCATGTACAGAAAGAAATTATTTTAAGAGGCATCAGATATTATTCAATGAATTCTATAATCTTATATACACACAATGTGTTATTTTTTATAAAAAATATGATTTTTAATATAATCAATTACATGCATACACATTTTATATTGCCAACTTGATATCTTTATTATCTCTTATTTTGTAAATTAACAATGTGCAAATTAAGTCGCTGAGGAAGCTTAAAATAGTACTCTATGTATGTATGTGTGTATATCTTGCGCGTTCTTCATCTATTTAAATATAAAGAAACAACTCTCGATCACATTTATCTTTGAACCAATTAGATGTTTTGGATCATTGATTACGGGTTGCAAATTGCCTTGATGATGCATGGAACGCAGTGGAAAGAATCGCAGGAATGAGAAAAAGCAATTGATCGGCCGCATACTCGTATAACAGGTTCCATGTACTCGCGAATTGAAAGTCGTTGACTCATTTCGCACTTTCCAGCAAGTTCTTTTCAATATTGTTGGTACAATTTAACGCTTAGGAAAATTTATCGATTGCAAGAAATTAATTTACTGCAATCTCCGTGATATCGTATATTTCAAGTAATCATGTTAAATTAGAAGATACATAAATACATATACAAGAATATGAAAGATTTCTAAAACATTGACACATTCGTTATATGTATATGTACATTTGAGAGAAAGAGAGTGAGAGGGAGAGAGAGGGAGAGAGAGAGAGAGAGAAATTATTTCTCTAATTAACATTTTTAAAATACACGATATGGAATGTAACTGCATTAGAATTAAAAATAATATAAATTGTACTGTATGACACAATAATAATAGACTATAAATCTTATCGCTTACAGCGATTGCAAAATGCTAAAAATTGATGTATAAGCATTTGTGCTCACTGTCTCTCTATGTTCCTTCTTCAAATATTCTCTCTCTCTCTTCTTGGCAACGGTAATTATATACCTAGAATGCATGCAAGTATGAAATACTGCATCTGTCGCTAAAAAAACCACAACTTCGCGAAGATTCATTAAACAACATTTTAATTGTGCGATAATTGTTTAATTGATTCGTAAAACTTGTGTCTCGTAAAAGGCACGTTCACCATGACATTTCCTTATCATTTACACTCATCATGTCAGATTCATTGGGTCCCGGCTTCAAGCTCGGTTACATCTATAATAAGATCTCTCAAATATGATCCAAGTGTCTTGCATGCTCTTTGTTCCTCTGTGTATACTTGTTTTCCCTCTCTATATACAACTTGTCGATTAAGTAGTATCCTACATCATAGCGGATTTACGATGTCGCTACCGCAATAACGATAATCGCAAGGTAGCTCGTTGATGTTGGTCGTTTGAATGTCTGAATGGATCTGGCAAGGTTAGTTCGTTACGGGACTCAAAGGTGGCGGTGCACGTATCCCCACGAACGAGCAGAGAGGAGAGAAAGAGACGGCAAGAAGCATTGCGTGATCGCGCGTGCCGCATGGTTTCTCCCCATCTCTTTTCCTCGCAGCGTAGGTACAGCGAGCACGCTGTATCCCGTGCTTTCTGTAGCGGTGGGGGATCAGTTGGGCGGCGCCTAGCAGCTCATGGGCGTCATTCCGACTTGGAACTACTTTCGCACGGCGTAGGAACTTTCGTGCCGTAGCGGAACGGTATTCGTGACGAATTCAATTCTGATTGGTCCTTAAGTATAACCTCCTCCCTTAGCGACGCGTTCTCCCTCTTCACCTGAGTGTCTGTGGCGACGGCGCTCGCTCTGCTTCGTCTCGCTCTTAGCTGTTACAATTGTGCATAACGTTCTTTCTTTTCCTCTTTATTCCCTTCTCTCTCTTCCTTTCTCTCTTTCTCTCTTCCGTACCTTCTTATCCGTTTGTGTCTCTTTGCGCGTCCTCATCCCTCTCTGTTTCCCATCTCATCTCTTCCCTTTCTTTCGCGTCGCGACCAACATTTCTTTCCTCTTCCTTTCTTCGCGCTGTCTTATCTGCTCGCGCGCCTCAAACGTGACGCGCACGGCGAACGAGTACGAATTTAATCTGGCGGTACGTCGTTGAGTTACTGGAACGCTCGATAGGGGGCACTGAGGAATCGTATCGCGAGAAAGAGGGAGAGGATAGATCGAATGGAAGGGAGAGGATGAATATCGTCGAGAGGTGGAGCGAGACAGAATCGGAGGGTGAGAAAGCAATTGTGGGGGGGAAACATTGGGGGTGGAAAGAGGGGGACAACAACGACGATAGACAGAGCGAGGAAGCTCGCACCAGGAGGGGGATGGTATGCGAGAGACAAAGAGGAATGATAGCACACTGCGATCTCCGTTAGGACGTAGTACTCCGGAGGAAGAGTACGCGCGAGTGAGAAGCGATAACCGCACGAATGGGAAGGAGCGATCGTGATAGAGCGAGAGGAAGATAGAGAGAGAGAGAGAGAGTGCGAGGAGGGACGACGGTTGGCAGAACGGAGAAGGAAGCTCGGGAGAGAGAACGCGAGAGAAGTCGAACTACGAGGAAGAGAGACGAAACGAGGTGAACGAGCGAGCAAGAGACGGACGACGGTACAGAGTGGCGGTACACGGGGCGCGAGAAAAGCGGTAGTGTGCCGTGGACCACCGCACTGGCATACCGTGATTCGTTACAATCTCCATCGTTCTCTAGACTCGGACTCTCACAGTCATCAGCGAAGTCACAATACGACAAGTGCTAGTGCAGTGCGGAACTGGCGAAGTCCACCCCCTGACATCTCTCGTGACAGATTGGCCGGCTTGAACTCAAAACAGGCCTTGACCTGACTTGACCGATCGCGCGAATTGTATATTTCAAAAGAAAAAGAGAGAACCGCCCCGCGAGGGTGGTTGTCGCGTGCCGGCTGACCGAACCGTCGTCCGGCGCGCACGCGGTAGAGAAACCCGCAGGCAATTTTATAGCCCGTCTTATTACTCAAGTTTATTACATCGTAACGGCTTAACGATCATCGCCCGTTTCCACAGTTCAAACCACCGTTTTATGCTTTGCTCGTCGCGTAGCGGTAACCATAACAAGACGATAAAAGTCCCCGCCACTGTCATGAAACCCATTCTGAATTACACTCCTACGGCCTACTAACATTGACACTCTCGGTATATAACCGGCTATACCTGTCGATGACTTTTATAGCCACTTAAAACGATTAAATACCCCTCGTTTATTTACCCCTTGTCAACATTCTAATCTGTCACCGCTCGCGTCGAATACTACAGCGTATCGCTCTTTTAAGCATTTATATCTATATAAATATCGTAGCAACTCGGTAACGTGGTACAAGATCAGAGATTTTATTAACTTTCATTCAATACGAAGACGTTGGTGTGACACGAGATTATAACAAATCGGACTAGTGAAATTTGACTAGCCGCGCGCGCTCCATGTAAGCCCGCTCGAACCTTGATTTACTTTTCCGCTGTCTCTTTTTTTGAGTGCCGGTGTTTTAGTGCAAGTGATTCAAAATACCCGGGATAATGAACTCGTACTTTGAACAGACCGCAGGCGGCTTCTACGGAAGCCACCATCATCAAACAGGAGCGGCGAGTCAACATCATGATCCAGCTACTGCGGCGTATCGAAGCTTTCCACTCGGATTAGGTATGTCGCATTACGCCTCAGCGCAGCATCACCATCATGCATCCTCTTCGTTAGGGATACACCCTGGCGGTGGAAGCAACACGAGACCACCTCAAGATTCACCGTATGACGCGAGCGTTGCGACGGCCTGCAAGCTTTATTCGACGACACCCGAAGCAACCGGTCACACCACATCCTCGTATTCAACAACGGCGACGAAAGACTGTAAACAACAAGATCAAACGTCAACACATCAAAATGGTTATGCCGCGGTCATGGCAGCTGCAGCGGTCAAGGACGTTTGGCAGTCAGCGACCTCGGGAGCGAACAGCCAGAGTAATTCGGTCGTACGTCCTTCCGCGTGTACTCCGGAGAGTACGAGGGTCAGTAGCTACGGTGGCCTTGTAGGCGGCGATCCGGCATCGAGTCCCGGTAACAACAGTTCGTCAAGATCCCTCACATCGTCCTGGAACACCTGCAGTTTAAACTCGTCCGCGAGTCAACCGGTCGCCACGCAACTACATCAGCAACCTACTGCCAACCATACCTTCTATCCCTGGATGGCTATAGCAGGTGAGTTTGCATTCATAAATGCTCTCTTATACGACTATTATCGTAACAGCCGCGATGAAATATAGGAGCCGCTATGGTTAGGGGAAATGTGGGGAGCCACGTGGTCGGGAAGGCGTGGTGGATCAGGCTTGCCCGTCTGGTTATACCGGACTAAATTGTTAAAATTGCTTCCACGCGATCAAATTACCTACAAGTCGTGTAGAACGAGATTATAGAATAGAATGTTTCGTATGCATCGCGAACGGATGAAAAATTCGAATGGATGAAAAATTTTATATCGCGCGTAAACAAGATGAGTTATTTCATCGTCCCTTCGTGTATAAAAAAAGCGGAAGGTGTAGATATGTCCTGCTCGACGAATATAGCTTATCATGACACCACTACATTCGAACGCGATGAAATTTTTCGCGAAGTCTATTTGTACGTCATTTTGAAATACGACACATGTCCATCGTGAAACCCGAGATCACAGATTTATAATCGTTGACAAACTAAAAGCATTCCATTGCCATTGTCTTTTGGTCGAATAAATATATAGCAACAAAAAAATTGGCAAAAAAATAACAGAACTGAACGTTAAAATGTTATTAGTATAATTAACATATGTATTTTGGAATCTTATTATATCTCTCTTATCTTATCTTATTCAGAATTAATGAATTGTAATATCCACTTTTAAACGAACGATTTTTCTAAGTATAAATTGCCGAATGTGTAAATTAAATATATTATCATATATATTAATAATATCATCACTTAATGATAATCTAATAAATGCAATAAGTATTTATTTTTATATATACAAGATACACAAAATGATATAACCTAACCGTGATAGTGATTTTTTTTTCTTTGCAAAAATAAAGCGTAGAATAAAATTTTTTTACACGAGATTCTGTTTTTTCGAGGAGAACAATTCAGTATCTTTACTCGATTTTTGAATTTGTAGTCTCTGTGAAAATATCGCGATGGTTAAATGTAGTAAACGAAAATATATTTTTATCGATTTTATATTCTTGAAAACAAAATCATATAAAAAAATTTCATTCTATTTTCGATGTACTTTTGCACGGGAAACCAGCCCGTTTGCAATTGTACCATCGTTACCGCCACATTCTATACATATATAATTTCTTTTAAATTGCTGGTCTTACCCTTCCTTTTCGTAAGTTTTATGAATTTTTCATTTTCGCGTATGCAATGTCAACGCGCGCGAGCTATGTCGTGGAAAATCGGTCGTGTACCTTGGCAAAATTATGTCTGGTAGATGGGTAGAATGGAGTCAAGTGCGTGTAAAATCGTTGGGTACGCTGGGTATAATGGGGAAGTCCTCGTCCAATTGGGGGTTCAAGTGCCTTCCCCACTGTACTCACCCCACCGGAACCCCGAATTCCGGTAGTCAGCTGTTTCTAGCGATGTCTTTGTCCTTTTCATTGCGAGAGAGAGAGAGAGAGAGAGAGAGAGAGAGAGAGAGAAAGAAGGAGAAACACTCCCGAATAACCTTCTGCTTTGCCGTTGGTAGATATATAATCATCAAGGCCTCGTGGGTTCTATCGCACTTTCGGTCAGAGTGCTTTCTTTACCACAGGTCAGCTGAGATCCTAGATTCCTAGCTAGCAGTTCTTTTTACTATCTCTTTCCTTTTCTCTTTGCTCCAAGCCGCTTAATTTTCGTCGGCGGGAATCTCCTTCCCGCGTTCTTCAGTCCGGTTTAAGAGTCAAGCTTTTTTTTTCTTCATCTTCGATTATACTATTATACAAGACATTTTATGCATGTACAGAAAGAAATTATTTTAAGAGGCATCAGATATTATTCAATGAATTCTATAATCTTATATACACACAATGTGTTATTTTTTATAAAAAATATGATTTTTAATATAATCAATTACATGCATACACATTTTATATTGCCAACTTGATATCTTTATTATCTCTTATTTTGTAAATTAACAATGTGCAAATTAAGTCGCTGAGGAAGCTTAAAATAGTACTCTATGTATGTATGTGTGTATATCTTGCGCGTTCTTCATCTATTTAAATATAAAGAAACAACTCTCGATCACATTTATCTTTGAACCAATTAGATGTTTTGGATCATTGATTACGGGTTGCAAATTGCCTTGATGATGCATGGAACGCAGTGGAAAGAATCGCAGGAATGAGAAAAAGCAATTGATCGGCCGCATACTCGTATAACAGGTTCCATGTACTCGCGAATTGAAAGTCGTTGACTCATTTCGCACTTTCCAGCAAGTTCTTTTCAATATTGTTGGTACAATTTAACGCTTAGGAAAATTTATCGATTGCAAGAAATTAATTTACTGCAATCTCCGTGATATCGTATATTTCAAGTAATCATGTTAAATTAGAAGATACATAAATACATATACAAGAATATGAAAGATTTCTAAAACATTGACACATTCGTTATATGTATATGTACATTTGAGAGAAAGAGAGTGAGAGGGAGAGAGAGGGAGAGAGAGAGAGAGAGAAATTATTTCTCTAATTAACATTTTTAAAATACACGATATGGAATGTAACTGCATTATTAATTAAAAATAATAAAATTGTACTGTATGACACAATAATAATAGACTATAAATCTTATCGCTTACAGCGATTGCAAAATGCTAAAAATTGATGTATAAGCATTTGTGCTCACTGTCTCTCTATGTTCCTTCTTCAAATATTCTCTCTCTCTCTTCTTGGCAACGGTAATTATATACCTAGAATGCATGCAAGTATGAAATACTGCATCTGTCGCTTAATTTATCGCACTTTTAATTGTATCTGTGTATATCGTAAGTGTGTTGTACAACGATTGTGCGAGCGATGTCTAATTTATATTATATAAATGCGAAAGCGCCTATATAAGCATGGCGCCTATGTCTGTATCTTACTGTTATCTGCTATTAAAAGAACACATCTATTACATTTGCAACAAGTTGTTCTTCATGAAGAATATAATTTTCATACATATTGTTGCACGTTATCCTGTTTTTATAAATGGACATATGTTTCGTAAATTATATAAAAATGTTATTTAGAAAGTTACCGTTTCTTTTCATAATGAACAATTAATTTCTTAAGATGATCTCCTCTTTTATTTATCTACTTTTTATCTTTCGATAAAATTGCACGCAAGAGATGAAAAATTTATAGAAGAATTATAAGTTAAGAATAACATAATTTTTCTATAAGTAAAAATCTTCTATAAGCGAACTTACCAATAGCAATGAGAAATATATCTTCTTTTATAGAGCTGGATCACTTTCTCAGGATACACCCAAACGCGAACAATATTTATCACTTCTCATTGAGGGGTTGACTGCGTCTACAGGGTAATTAGAGGGCGCAACGATAGAGAGGCTGGGGTGCTATTTAGGCATCTCTTCATTCAAGCCCATTGAGAGAGAGCCTCTTTTACGGTGCAGATCTGAAAAATGGTCCTTTTTAAAGTCACATTAAGGGTCGCGCGATAACCTGATAGAGGAGTATTAATCAAGATAAATATGTCCGATGGACTTACTATTAATGATAGCTCTGTAGCTTCCGTTTCTGAAATTTACATCCTCTATTTCCGACGCGCTTAAAGGAACGTTATCTAAAAAGATGATCTAATTTTACGATATTTTACTATATTTGACGTGAATAGTATAATGATCTTTGTTAGAAAAGTAAAAGAAAATATAAAACAATGATACTACTCAATTAATTTTAGCGCAATAAATCCGTAATAGTGCGAATCAAAAAGAAAATGATATCACTCAAGTGCTTTATTCAATTGTGCGCGATACGGCCAAAGAGGTACTCAACGAACCTTGAATTCCTTCACTGGATTCCCGCGTAAAAGCCACGTGGTGCCCGCGTTGCGTCGCTCCCGGAGTTGGAAAGGAGTAGTAGCGCTACTTTCTACAATACGACGTCTGCGAGTAGGTGTTACGTACCTCGGGGAGCAACCCCGTTCAATATAAAGCAGCTAGGAACAACGCTGTAACCGTAACTTTGACGTTTACGACAACGAAATCGTGGCTCGACTCGTTTATCCCTCCTTCTTGTGAACCTCCACGCTTGCCGCTATGGCCTTTTACGAGGGTTGCCGGTAACACAGCGCTCTACTCCCGTATCGACGAAGATCAGCTCCGATCTTCGTGTGCGTCCGTTGTAAGGATTCCCTTTTCGCGAACAGAAAACATACGGATCAAATAACGGATCATTGCCTTACACAAATTCAGAGTATTTTCTTATGCGATCTATTAATACATCATCATTATATTTTTAAAAAATAAATGTATTTAACGACTAAAAATAAACAAATAATGTAGTCTTGTAATTATATATATATATATATGGCAGATATTAAGTTCACTGCCATCGAAACATTTTTTATTGGAATAATTTCTTTTTATTCTTCTGTGCAATCAAAAATATAAAAGAGAAATATATGATGGAGAGAATACGATATAGAAAAAGGGCGTTCGTCCATACAAATTTACCTTCGCGTACCACAACACGTATTTTAAAATCAATTTTTGCGTACTCTATTAAAGGATTATGTGACGGATACGCGTCGAGTATAGGCGTGCATGTTGCACACCGGTGATCAAGTGGTTCGGGGTTTCTCTCCTCCATGTGTATAGAGGTGTACGAAATATTCAGGCACACGTAACGTATAGGAACTCACACTATCGAGCGTCGCGACCTAAAGAGGCAGCCCGAGTGAATGCGTTCTTCGTATACGTGCGGGGAGAGCCCTTTCCATGTGTTGCTCCGTTGGCCCGGATGAAGTATGACGTACGAGCCTCTCCGTATGACTTACTACGCCCTTTTTTCCCTTCTCCACGCCCGCCTCTCTCCTTCGTACTGTTCAACCAAAAAACATTGGGGTCTTCTTAAAAATGCACGCTCTTTAGTTGCAATGTGCATTCTTCGATGGCAGGGGAAAGCAGGTAGAAATAAAATGCAAGTGAGCCTCGAGGCATTTTCGTTGCAAAAATATTTTTGTAACATATCATCGTCGTACATCTCATATTTAGTAATGAACGTCTGAAGAATACAAATGTGTCAGAATATAAAAGTCGAAAACAGATGATACGTTAGGTATATTATTTTATAATTATTATTTTCCGATTCTTTGTGTGTTTCATACCTATCCATATTTCCTTATGAATGCCATTATTATTTTTTTTTTATAAATATATCTTACGCTTATCCGTAATTTTTACCACTGGAAATTTGGAATTAATTAATTAACGACATACAAGTAAAAAATCTAAGTATAAGTTCCAAATAGTTTGGTCATAATAATAAATAAAGTTTGTACGGATCTATGTCTTTTCTTTGCAATTATTAATTGATTTTATTAAGAATATTCGCATCATCGTTTTACGTGGATAAATGTGTTTATTCTACTGGATTGCAATTATTGCCAAAATTATTGTACTCATTATAATATTTAATCGCGTATAATTCTTCGATTTTCTTGTCTTTCTGTGTTTTAATTTCCCACTTTCCTTCACTAAACTGGCATTAAACAATTATGTACGATTGAACAGACGCGTAAAAATATAAAGCAGAAACATCAACATCATATGAGCGATTAGCGCAAATAATTTTCATGATCATTGCGATGTAATCGCGAGTCGACCGATCGAGAAATTAACGTTGTACTCAGTGAGGTAGACTAATTTTAAAGTACAACCGCGGCGCCATCAGCCAAGACGGTATCAATGTATATACGTACACGATATGTACATCTCTTGCGTACCTTTCGCATTTTAATTTAAGCATCGCCTTGCGACCAATCACGCTATTCGCGTTATACGTAGCGGCCGACTTAAGGTATAATCTTTGATCGATCGTATCGCTCGCGTCTTGTCCCACGTCTCGCTTCTTCCTCTCGTAACTAGTAATTTTAACCCGCATGGTGCTTCTCGAAGGACTTTCAGTAAGCTTGTTATTATTATTGTTGTTATTATTATTTAAATTTCGCTTTTTATTATTCAATCTATGTCGTTTTTATAAGTAATAAAATAATTATAAAATATTTGAATAAGCTGTGCGATTAAATATAGTTTAAACAATTCGACGTAAAAATATATCCAGCTTTAATTTTAGATAGAGAGTGCGTACAGTTGAAACGGAATTACCGAAATTGTTTGATCGATTCCCAATGGAACGAAAGATCCGATTACTTGAACAGATATCAAGCAAATTTCGCGAGCTAAAAAAAGCTAATGTGTAATTCCTCATTGTAAAGAGGAATATATAATCAGTCTATTTTTATTTCCTCCGATACATAGTTCAATTTTACTTTACTATTGTATCTAGCTTATTACAATTTTACATAGATGCTAAGATACATCTTAATAGTCATAACCTTCATAAGGAGTTACGTATGAATTCTTCGCGTCTAGGTATTATAATGAGGAAAAAATAAGCAGGTGAATATGCGTGAGCATAAGCGTAACGCGCGCCGAGGCGTTGAGGTACTGATCGGTAGGTACGTCGCGTCGCCAGCGGTTGCCTCCGCCAGGTTTCTCAATTTGATGAACGAGCTGTTCGCATGTACGATTCGTGAGCTAGCCCGACTTTATATACAGCCAACAACACGGCCGTATGCTATATCTCGCCGTTTTGCAAATTTCATACCGTAGAAGTTACTGTTAGCGATCGCGAATTCCCCATGTATACTGAGTGTTTCAAAGTTGAACGATCAAACTTCATCACTGTTTTATGAATAGATAAAAAGAAAAAATTCCCTCTTACATTGTAATATATAATATTAATAGCAAATCCGCTATTCATATTTAATATCTTCGTCATAACATCTTAATAAAGCATTTCCGGATTAATGCTTAAATAACATTTTTTTCTTGTTTCTACTCATAGAACTGGCAAAGTTTGATCGATTAACTTTGAAATATCTTATATATACGTCCTTGTTAGTATTTCGATCAATTAATTAAAGGACAGGTTTTTTCTAATATTAAAAAATATGAACGCTTTTGACGAGAATTGTTGTCACAGCGATTTAATTACAATTTTATGTTATATTCATTAACTCTCATCTTTATTTAGAGATTTAATGTATAGCGAAAATTCTACGAGAAGTTTTTTAAGCACACTTATTTTCACGTGTTTCTCACATCTTCCTCAAAATTTTTTTCTTTAGATTTAGGTAAAATTAAAAATATTTGTTATCAAAATAATTTCAGATATTTAACGATTAGTATACATATATCAAGAGAATCTGGCATTGACGAGATATTATAAATACCTATATATAGGCTAAAGTTGTTTATATACATATATTGTGCCCGAGGCTAAGATAATACATACGTTGGTCTGGCCGTGCTCTTCGTAGGTATGAAGAATGTGTTTAGTTCCTCGGCGATCGGAACGACTATACCGCCAGACACAAAGGCCATGTCTAGTCGTGGCCGCAGGGAAAGACGGGTACATGGTAAAATAATTGAATCGAAAAACATTCTTATGCGCGCGTTTTTTCACGGTTTTTGATTGTCCGTTATAGATAAAAATATTATTAAAAGAATACATTACACACACATACACATTTTATTCAAGTGGGTATTCACTGGAATAATATAAACATCATGTGATGAATTTTATTTTGGCTTTCTTGTGGCCAATATTTTTGATATGTCAATATATCTATGATTTAAACGAAGTTTTAACAATTTAAAAAAGTTTTTAAAAATATACACTCGTAAATTGTTTTATAAATGTTAGGGAAAATTTTTAAACACTTTATGTAAAATAAAACACAATTTTTCAATATGAAACAGCGAAGAATTATGGCGGACGGTGTCACCCGGCTTATAAGATACTCGTTGTAATCGAGTCGTCGCGTTGACGACACAGCAGGAAAAATATTTTCGAAGCAATATTCCCCGAGCTCGTTTCTTATTCTTATTTCATCTCACGTACCAACACCATCTGCGGAGCAGACCTCGGCGCGTCGATATTCAATTAATACGCAACGATGTAATCGGGTCCGTTGATACTGCCAATAATCTTCCGCGTTCACATAACTCTTATGTAGCACTTTTTGCACCGACAAACTTGCCCACCGTTCTTCTCGTCCGTGTCGATGGGCGGCCATTACGGACAGCACCTGCCATCCTGACTACGACCTGACCACAATACCTTTACTACTGCCTCCATTATTGAGAGAACATTGTCAGTCTTCAACAATTTTACCAGGCACGATTTAAAAGTTAAAAGATTAGACGTACCTACATAATAGGAAAATTAACATCAAAATCAATTTTGTTTCTATTTTTATGCTATTATTATGAGAGCTACTTTTTTTCTAAAATTATAAATTATTATTATATATATAAAATAGCAGTATTTATAAGAAAATTTATTACGTTTTGATTTATTTACGTTTTACTTATTCAAAGAACATTATATAAAATATTACATAATTGACATATATTGCATTCCTTACGACAATTAGTTTTCATTAAGAAATACATGGAAGTTGTTGGATTTTATAATCTTAGACATTATTCTGTCAAGAGTTCTAATGATAATTATTGGATAATATCTATTCTTTTTAATTTGCTGTTATATAATAAACAATTATCAAATTTATTACGCAAAAGTTTCATAATTTATTTTTAGATGTATTAAAACAAGATATATGACTGATTATATAATCTTCTTCAATATATTTGCTTGAGAATCGTGTGCCGAGAACTTAAGCTGAAGACGTACATTAATATCGAGTAGGACAGGCAAAGGGACTTTAAAATTAAGAAGTTTTCGTTTAGCAACGTTTCAGCAATTCTTTTGAAAGGTCGGGAAGTTGTAGACAGATAAATTATGCCTGACGTTCCTACCTATTTGTGTTCGACCTTTACTAGCTGTGCAGTAAATGCCTAAACTAAGTTCCGATTCAATCTATACAGATATTGTATGTCTGTAATACGAAATAATTTTAAGCTGTTTAAATAAATAAGTAAATTTAACGATATACTGATAAATATCTGGTAAAAAAAAATCAGTGATGTAGTAGTAATAATTGAATTAACGCAATTGATCGATAAGACAAAGCCCTTAGTTGACTCAATCACGTCAATAATCAATTTTGTTTCTATTTTTATGCTATTATTATGAGAGCTACTTTTTTTCTAAAATTATAAATTATTATTATATATATAAAATAGCAGTATTTATAAGAAAATTTATTACGTTTTGATTTATTTACGTTTTACTTATTCAAAGAACATTATATAAAATATTACATAATTGACATATATTGCATTCCTTACGACAATTAGTTTTCATTAAGAAATACATGGAAGTTGTTGGATTTTATAATCTTAGACATTATTCTGTCAAGAGTTCTAATGATAATTATTGGATAATATCTATTCTTTTTAATTTGCTGTTATATAATAAACAATTATCAAATTTATTACGCAAAAGTTTCATAATTTATTTTTAGATGTATTAAAACAAGATATATGACTGATTATATAATCTTCTTCAATATATTTGCTTGAGAATCGTGTGCCGAGAACTTAAGCTGAAGACGTACATTAATATCGAGTAGGACAGGCAAAGGGACTTTAAAATTAAGAAGTTTTCGTTTAGCAACGTTTCAGCAATTCTTTTGAAAGGTCGGGAAGTTGTAGACAGATAAATTATGCCTGACGTTCCTACCTATTTGTGTTCGACCTTTACTAGCTGTGCAGTAAATGCCTAAACTAAGTTCCGATTCAATCTATACAGATATTGTATGTCTGTAATACGAAATAATTTTAAGCTGTTTAAATAAATAAGTAAATTTAACGATATACTGATAAATATCTTGTAAAAAAAAA